TCCTATCCTATCCTATCCTATCCTATCCTATCCTATCCTATCCTATCTATCTATACCAGATGGTTGGAAAACCAAAAATGGTCCAAGATGGTCCAGGTTCCCATCCAATGGTCGAACAATGTGGACTGACAGTCTCCTCAATGTCTTCTCAGTCCTCGAATCTTGGAGCTGATGACGCACTACTGTAACTAACCTACTAGGTGAAGAAAAACATACTCAATCTGATGAACACACCATGTCATGTATGTGTCTTTTCAGCAGACATGGCTTGGCTTTCTTTGGGTGCTGTGCCAATGAAACACTGATGACTGATGACTCGTCTCCCTATTGTCTTCCAACATCCGGCAGATGTTCGGCAGATTGGAATTGTTTTGGCATGTTTAATTGTAATCGGGAAAGTCTTCGAGCTTTGTGTCGCATTCTGTTTCTTGCCTCGGTCTGCGTTTTTTCAGTGGTCTCAGATGACCTTTTGTTGATCTTATGTTTACGTCAGTGAACTGGACTATCAAGCGGATGATCCTGAAATTGTACATGTCATCCCCATCCTCCACGGAGTTCTTTCCCAGGAAAGCTCAGTTGTTACCGGTGCCACGGACCCTGATTGAACAACCAACGGTCCCCAAAAAACCCGGTAGACAACGGCCCGTTCGGCCACGCCTGGTTAAGCAGTTGGAACACGGGAACCGAAGAGCCGAGCTCAGTGATGAAACCTCCGGCTGCAGCTTGGTGAAAGGCACCGGAGCGAGTCCACGCGACGCGCCCCCGTGGGGTTCGGGTTCCAGGCTTCCATCGGCATGGAAGCGTTGGCCGCTGTCAAGGCACGTGTTGTTTCGCCGGGGAAGATATGAGCTGCGAAATGGGACCCACATTGAAAGAAGCATGGCATGCGAAAGAGTCGAATGAGATGTCGGTGGCTCAAGTGGGGAACGTTGCAAAAGTTGAGATGATCACACACCACACACAAACACACATGGCTTTTGCAAGACATGTCAATTTCATGGTTCGCTCTGCTCTTCACATATCACTATATATACACATGCATATATACTTATGTGATCTTATGTGAGAGTTTGGAAGTGGTAGAAAAACAGGCCAGGTTCGTATGGCAGATGGTTTTCATCACCATGCTCTGATGCCTTTTCCGTTTGGACGTGCTCTACAAGTGCATGTCACGGGCCCCAAAAACCGCCCGTCTCCGCAGGACTTGATGCGCGTGGGGGCGCTCAGACCCGCTCGGGTGCAGGGGGGGTGCGAGGCGGTTGTGGAAGGCCAGGCTTGAAGAGAGCTGCACTGACCATCACTGACCTATTCACAGCTTGAGTCTATTGATTCATGAAGTTCGATGCCCTACAAGCCCAAGAAGTAGCCTTCTTTAAAAGGTGGGCACAGAGAGTGCTGAATGTGAAAACCGTTGTTCAGCAGGAAAGGCCCACCTCCCTCTTTTTTCATGCAAGGCTGCAAGACATAGGGCTCGACGGCGTCAATGAAGGCGTCATACACTGCGAACAAGTTTCGAACAATGCATATAATTTCAAATGGGTGCCTTAATGTAAGTGGAAATACCACGCGCAGTCACGCACGGTCTGGCCTGGCATAGCAGTAATCTAAATTTGCGTGACCCGTGGTGTTCCGTTGTCGCGACGCGTCGCGACGGTGTTGTCCGACATCGTCGTCGATCCCACAGCGTCGCTGTCCTCGCATTGGGCTGTGAAAGCAAGATCCGCAGCTCAGTCTTGCCGCTGGTGGGCGTCGGAAAGGCTGGGACTGCGAGCCGTTGCAACGAATGCAGTTGGGAGATGAAGAACGTAGCTCGCAGATGAGTGCGGATATCATCCTGAAAATGGGCAATTCACATGGTATGACTGACAGACTAGTGTTTGGGGCTTGGCTTCTGCAAGCCCAGTTGGTTGATGACGATCCTAAAGATAGGGGCGCCCCCAACCAGCAATGATGTTCTTATTTTGCCTGTTGCAAAACCATGCAACACATGGCAAAACCTACCAGGACCCTCCTGTCGGGGTGTCCTGGCTGAACCCCACACTCCTTCTTTAGGCTTCCAGACAGGGCACCCTACGGTGTCGGGTCCTGGTATGGATTTTCGGTTGCAAACCTCCCCAGTTAGGAAGGAAGAAACATCTGAACGGCCTGTTGGGTCGATGTCCAGTGCGCGACCTGGATCCGGTTTGACTCGGTTTTGATCAAAAGGGACGCCGCATCTTGAAGTAGGGCAGGGCTGTGGTTATACACAGGGGTCCCCCCAATGAGTCCATTCTGAGGTGGGTAGTGCTAATGTATCAAAAGACGGGTTAGTCAGTTTGAGCGCCAGGGGATAGGTCCCTTGGTAAGGGTTTCTCGGTATTTGTTATGGAGCCAAAGCGGCCTTTAGTGGTTCCATGGCCTCCAGCTGCACAGCCGGCCCATGAGGAACCCCAGAGGGCAAGTCCAAGTCTATGATCACTTATGATCACCCAAAAACCCCAAAGACATCAGAAAACCATCATAAACTACAACCCACTCACCCAAACCAGGTAACCAACAAGACCTCCACGGTCCCCTCCGTGCTTTCCGGACCAAACCAAACCGGTCCGCCACGCCGGTCCGCCACACCGGTCGAGGCGCTCGGTGGAGGACCTGCCATGGCACTCTTTGAGGAGCCCAGCACTCTGAGGCGCGGAACCGAGCGGAACCGGAACGCAGGCTTCAACGCCTGCTACGAACGGAGTGATTGGACGCTACGAACGTGGCCACGAACGTGGCTCCTGATAATTAACTACGAAAAGAGAACAAGAGGACAGGCTTAAACACCGGGTTTCGGCGCCTACCTCTGAGGGAAGGACCTCCCTTCTGCGACATTTCAGGCGAGCCCAAAGTTCCCGAGGGACTGGAGATGAAGTGGGAACAAAAATGAACGTTCATTCCATTTGTTCTTTTGTACCGGAGGTTACTTGTGAACCGTAATTATATATGGCTGCTTGCAATCCCTTCAATTTGTGAGTCCGTTCACAGTGGGAGCGAAGTCATGCGGATGCTCTTGGTTGCTACATGTTGTTACAGTGGGTCGAGGGGGACTGGGGGCACAACTTCAGCCAGGAGTGGATGTTTCAATTGTAGATGACCAATCGCCATCACAGAAAGGCATGGTTTGACAATGGTTGACATTAAGAAAGAACAATCATCAGCAAGCTTTCTCCCAACAAGATTGAGTCTCTCGGAAATGGACATGGCCCTGGGCGATGTCCATCCGGACATGATTTATTTCATCGGCTTACAGCTTTGCAGACGAGCACACAGCTCTTGTGCTTGTTTTGCGAGCACAAAGCATCCCCACTTTGTGGGTTTGAGAAGTGATCCCAAGGCGATGTGGAGTTTGGGACATTTCCTCCAATTCCGACATGATGCAGTGGGAGTGTGAATTGGGATTTAAAGACAGATGAACTTCACAAGGGTTACTGGCAAAAAAACACATATTGGTCTTGTAGCTCCTTGGTAAGTTTTGCGCACCCTTCAAATTGGTGATCAGAAGACCATCCCTAATATAGATATCATTGGTGACACTGTAGCCTTCATCTTTTGAAAGATCTTTAAAGTGTTAAACAGTTATATAAACAGTTACAATCTGAGAAGTGGCACTTCTCACCTGTCCATCAACAGAATCGCGCAACTTACAAGAGGCTCAGCTCGTGTCCCAAGAAACGATCTTGAAAGTAGTATCAAGAAAAATATGTAGGACAAAAATGAAAAAAGAACACAACAACACATGATTTAGGAGGACCATGTTCCATATCAATATTCTATCTACTTGAGGGTGACCATACCTTGTTGCTTGTGCCAACCGGGCCACAAGGGATGCCTACCACGAGCTCCGCTCCAAACTCCAGGAGCAGCAGCGAAAAGCCATCACCCTTGCCCAAGCGACCACGAGTGTCCTTTACCACAGCATCTTGGGGCACACCATTTTGCCGGCGTTCGGCCTTTGCTTCGGATTCGCAGAAGGATGGTGTCTTAAAGGAAAACAACCAAATACACCTTCACGATTGTGTGTGTGTTTTTGTTACTGTACTTTCTGTATGATGTTTTGTCCATCAAAACGCAACATGGTCACTTGGTCACTGCCAGGGACCTGGAGCTCTCTGCAGGTCTGCTGCACGAGCACAGACCTGACGGAAAAAACGACACGAAGATAAAAACACAACCTTTGGCTATGGTCAACCACGCAGACGGTTCACATGACCCCCCAAAAAAACAATGTCCACCTACGGCCTGGCGCAGCCCTGGGGTATTGGAAGGGAATTGATTTCCCCACATGAATACAGTAGCCTAGATCATCCCACGATCCATTTCTGTCCCATTGGATGCCGGTGTGCATCAAAATAGGGAAGGCTTCCCAGGCGTTCCATCCGGGGTCGGTTCGGACCATGTGACTGGTCGAAAAACCCAGCGATCTCGGAGCGGTCGGTGTCTCTCTCATGGTCTTCTACACCCATGCGACTCCCAGTGACTTCCACGGAAAAACCCGGGAAGACATGTCAATGTGTGTGGCTGAGGTGAGCATGCGCACCTTCAACGGTGATGATCCCAAAACCTTATCGAGTCCAACGGAGCGAGTGGCTTGGAATGAACACCAAGGGGGATCGACCGGGATCGACCAGGGTTTGTCAGGAGGGTGGGTTGGCAGGGCTGGTGAAGGTTTTTGTTGTCGGTCTGCAGCATTGTTCGAATATGTGTGATATGTGTCATGTGATGTTTTGGGGGTAGACCCCTTCATAGAGACCCCAAATTGAAGAGGGAAAGATGAAACTGTCATTCCCATTCAAGTGACGTGTGCTGGACCATTTTGGACACCAGTCCGTACTGTTTGTTGAAAAGCGGAAAAGAATCAACCTGGGTTGGCACAAAACAAACCCAGAAGACATGACTCATGATGAACGCCAATAGGTTTGTGACATAGAAGTGTTCCAAGGGTCACTGCCAACTCCAATCAAGTGTCATCCGAGTCGACCAAAAGAACCACTTCTACTTCTACTACACACGCAGACTCAACCAGATCCAGATCATGATTCATCATGATTCATCCACCCACCCCACTACCAAACACTGCCATGGGACTGCCATATATGCCAATCACTTGACCCCCAAAACCATCCCTGGCCGTTTCTCGGCAGTCCCATGGCAGCCCCATGGAGTGTTTGGGACCGTCTCTCTCGAGCCGTCCGTTCCGGCCGTCCGTCCGCGGCCGACTTAGGCCTTGTCACCCATGGCCGATGGCTTGGCGCCCGCGGAGGACTCGCAGGAGGTCACGGCCAACGTGGAAAGTCTGCGCCTGGGCATGGCATCAGGTGCCCCAAAAGGGGGGGCGGGTCTCGTCAAAGGCTGAGGAGGCTTGTTGGAGGCCTTTTGGAGAGATGGCAGGCTTTGGGGGGTCTTTGTTGGCGTTTCCATGCAATTTCAAAAAGAGTCTTGAGGTAGTTGTGGCTAAGATGTGAGGAACTGAAGCACAACAACCTGATTCGGAGCCTCATGGACGGTTCTTTGCGAAGAATGCACCCCAAAAGACTAAGAGGCAGGGCCGACGTTTCCTTTCTTTTGGGTCCCTAAGTCTTTTTCGCGCTCTGAGAGTCTTCTTTCTTCCAGTTCATGTCCGGGTCCCCCAGGGGCAGCCTCTGCAATTGGTCCGTTACAAGCGCTCACTCCCTCAGACCCGTTATTCTTCTTCGCCGCTCCCGTTTGCACGGCCCCAAAACCACTCCACCCCGCCTTTCGTTCCTGTCCTTCTACACAGAGACGGCAGACCTTTCCGCTCGCGAATCGGACGTCACGCCCGGCCGTAAACCGGACGTGGTTGTTCCTCGACCGAACGGAGGTCGCGCTTGGTGCTGGAAGATGAGTTGGACGCCAGGACCTCGCGGCCGGGCGGTCGCGGTCGCGCGGAGATGCGCGTTCTCCGAGGTCCACGGTGGTTTTTCGGGGTCCAGGGTGGGTGAAGAGAACCTCCGAAGAAGAGGGCGAACTGGTGGGTGTGATGGTAGAAGGTTGATTCACACCCTCTATTATGATTACTGTAGGAGGTGTTTTTCATCAGTCTACAATACTTACAATTACTTATATAATACTGTATTGATCAATTGATAATTGATCCCTTCAATGTTCTCATGATTTCCCTACCCGTACGCAGTTCACATTCCAGTGTTTCCCTACCCGTACGCAGTTCACATTCCAGTCTCGCTCGCAGGTGGTTGTTCGTAGGAGACCCACTGAATTTGTTTATTTGTTTAAAGAGTGCCCTGAAGGCAAAGCCACCCCTTATACTGGGACTTACCCAGACTTCCTTTTCCAGACATTGCTTCAGACTTACTGCACAAATTACTGCAACGAAGCTGCAGGGGTTTTCCTATGTTTTCCTTTTCTATTTCGCAAGAGGATCGGAGACCACAAATACGTCAAGATCCTCAGATCATTTCAGATCATCTCAGATCACCAAGCATGAGGAGCAAACATGTGAGCATCAATGAGCCCAACCACTTGGAGCGCGTCTTGCTGAAGCAAGCATCGCCCATGCGGACTCCCACGGCCTATGCCGAGCAGGCGGGTCCGGTGCCGCCCGGTGGCGGTGACGTCAGGATCAGGAGGTAGGCGACAGGTGTCTCTTTTTTGGTTTGTTCATCATGTGGGGTGGGGAACTGTTGCAAGAAAACAACATGTATAGAGTTTGTTTAATCTCACCGGCTACAACAAATTTCACTGAGCACGAATGAGACAAGGAGATCTCACAGTCATTGTTGGTTCGATCTTCTATATTGCTGTTTAGCTAGGAAAAAGTAAGTTGTGTGATGTTATGTGGGGGCTGATGAGTGAATGCCTATCAAAGCAATCCAAGAATCAGCTGGTGATTACTTGCAGCAAGACATGATAGTATCAGGTGTTATATGTGCTTCTTGTTTATTTTATGTATCCATTTCTCATATTACCTCCTTCCTCCATCCTCAGCTCACCAGAAATTGCACTATAGACTCACTCCGCCCATCGGCATCCGTCCGAGACCTCACCCGAGGAGACCTCGCCCTTGCCGGAGAACTGGGATCTCTACAAGCAGTTCAAGTCCAGCCCCTCGCCCGCCCGCAGAGGGTGGCGCATTAAAGGTTGAACTCGGATTGATTATTGGCTGCACAAACACTGCTCCTTTAAGCTGCTCATTCATCGGGAGTTCATCAACGAGATCCAAGCGGACAGGTTAGCGTCGTCGTACTTGCGAAGAATGCCAACAGACACCCACAGGAATGACGAGAGAGAACACGGGTGATTTGTACAAAGAGTGATCAGCAAGGTCATCATAATCAAGATCACCACCAGTGTCGTCGCATCATCCTCGTACTTGTCCTTCTGTTACCCTTGTCCATGTCCTTGTCTCAGAAACAATCAGACCTCGCAGCAAATGATCCCCGGATCATCTTGGAAAAAACATCGTGGTGAATTGCAGTGAGCCCCTCATCGGCACCAGAAATTTCCCACACCCCCAAGACCAAGTTTTGGTCAGCGTATGAAGATCTACAAAACGCCAGTGCTTTCTGCACAAAGTCATCCTGATCAATCGGATGTAGGGACGGTGAAGGTCACCCTCTTCGGAGTGCACGAAAGCGACGAGATCGGAGTCCGGAGTGCGCGAACACTGTTGTTCTACTTGCTTGGCACGTTTGGGGGGGAAGGGTGGGGTACCCTCCCAATGTTGCAATGTTTTCTACCCAATAATCTTTGAGAAACACCTGGAAGCAGGGCTGCCCGCCCTTGCCACGGTGGAACAAATCCTGAGCTCGGCGTACCTCAGAGAGACTCCAATTAATACTATCTTCACACATCCATGTTCATTCTCCTTCTTTTCACCACCCCACCCCACACCCAGCCAGAGCCAGGTCAGGCGGCCAGCGGAGCCACCACACGAGGCGCTGGCGGAAGCCCAGAGCTGAAGTCCACCAGTGCCTCGGAGTTCACCAAAGCGGTTTGTATCATAGTGAGACCCCTCACCAGTGGGTTTTGCGGCTTTGCTTCTTGTCTCAGCCTAGTTTCAGGCTGTCTGGGCCTCCCCAGCATAAGCCTCACCAGTGGGTGTTGATTTGTTTTCCTTTTTTCAACGAGATCTTTGGGGGTCTCCCTATTTTAACCCACATCCAACTGGCTTATGGACGGCCGGCAACACTCGGAGCACGATGGTTGTATGTTGAGTTTGTCCCATGACCTGTCATAGTCGACAACATGATCGAGGCATTCACCAACCATCATCATCTACTGTTATAGCCAAGTTGTATGACCAAAGCTGTATGGTTGTGTTTGTTGATGAGTCATGAGTCAAAGCCTCCCCGACAAAAGCATGGCTTTGATTGACCAGACTCTGTATGGAATCTGATCAAGTTCAGTGCTCAACCAGGGTCCCATCTTTTGACCCTTCATCAAGCATCATCAAGCCCCAGGATTCCTTCCAGATTCTACATCTCCAGGCTTCAGGGGTTTTATTAGACAGCCAGATGGTCTTTTGGATGGTCTTTTGGATGATCATCAAAGGTTGATTGTGGACATTCCCTTGGGTACAAAAGCTGCCTGGTGGAGGATGACGCTTCTACAAGGATACAGTTCGTGGAGTTCTGAAGCCAGTTGATGAAAGAACAGACCATCAGGATCCATCGGGATCCATCAGGATCCATCAGGTCTGATTGAAATCTTGCGGTTCAACTTGCTTTGCAGGTCTTTTTGATAGAAACCTCCACCAAGAGACCTTCCTCCACCAACACTTGCCATCAAATGCTGTGCTGACTGGCTAGTTCTGAATCTGCTGGCTGACCTTGTCCTGCCTTGGACTCTCTTAAGGCAGGCCACCCTGCTGCTCCTTTTTTCGAGTTGTTTGCATCCTTGTTGGTTGTGGTTCCAGCACCAGGCCACCGCATCAGCCCTCGCCCGGGCGCCTTTTGCGCCGCGGCCCTGCGATCGGCCGTGCCACCACCGGCGCCCGCCGTGGCACCACTGCCCACGCGTGGCCTGACGCGGCCCTCGAAGTGCTCTCCACGGCGCTCTCCGGACACCGTGGACATGAGCGGCGTGGTGAGGCCGGAGATAAAGCCCTTGGTGAGACGGCGCGACCGGTGTGACCGGGCATGACTCACATGACCAAACGGGACAATGAGAGAATGAGAATAGATGTATTTTTGGGAGTTGGATATTTGGATGGGCAGAAGCCTACTATAGCACTGGATTTGGTTGAGAGATTTGTGGGGATCCAACAAACTTGAGCACATATATATATATACACACATGGACATACAGTAAAAGGCCCTTACGCCGCTATCGTTGTGTTTGGTGCTAGACATTTACTGTAGTCGATCTGTTGCAAATTGGATGGAGGGAGATCCCAACCTATCCGGCATGAGTTAGCCCTTCCTTTGCATGGCTTCTTGCGCCAAGCAGTTGGCCATGGTTGATGGTCAAGTGTTCACATGGCTCCCGGTAAACTGGTTATATGTAGTCCAGAAGTCTTGAAAACATGGATTTAACTTCAAGCCCCCAGTCAGGATGCGCGGACTTGCGAGTCAGTGGCGCTTCTACGTTACCCCTTGCTGCGGTTTTTTCACAGCGGGTGTAAGTCCCCCAGTCAGGATATTAGACAAGATACAAACATATACAAACCAAATATATCCAGCAAAACCTAATGAACTTCTGTGTGATTTTGGTGTTTGGTGGATAATTGTTATACGATTATAATATGTAATTAGTAATATTTGTATAAATATATATAATTACGTATAATTACTATATGCAACAAATTTTTGTATATATAATGTAACTAAAATGGTATATATACTTTGTTTTTCTTACGTTCTTTCATTATTATAAAGGATTCTAGCTTAATTTGCCCCCTCAGAATCATCAGTTGAGGTCTGGGACTCCAGGACGGACGACCGGCAAAGCAGTGACCCGCTCTTCCCCACATCAGCGGCTTCCGGGTTTTCTCCATCAGAACAAGACGACCTCAGCCCAGAACAAGGACACATGCGATCCTCCAAAACCTCTCAAAACCACTGGGGTTGTAGTACATGATCATGGATCGATTGAGTTTGTTCCACGGAGATCAGTTTCAGGGTCCATTTTTTTCTGCAAGGGTTTCGTTCGGGTACCTTGACCGATGTTGAGACCTAAAAGAGAAGGCCGGTCACGAGTCACTACACTGCACGGCAGCTAACCACACCGGTCTCGAGTTTTGCTCCTACACGGCCGTGTGGGAGCAGCTCTCGCGAGTCCAAAGCCTGAAACCTGGGGAAAGTCAGGAGCCTGAAACCTGCAGCAAGAACTGATGTTGGACACAGCACCATACAGCACCCCAATCTAGGGCAATGGATCTACGATTGAACTCCACCACACGTTCGAAGAACACCGACCCCAAATGAGCTAGACAGCTAGACAGCTGCTGTAGACAGCTAGACCTATCCCTTCGCTCCTCCGCGAAGGTCGATCCAGCTGGGTCCCCAGGACTCCATCGACTCCGCGGTGCCCGAGGGCCGCAAGTCCTTTGCGCCTGGGACGGAGCGGACCGGACCGGGGGGTCCAGCCGGGCGGCGGGCGAACAGGTTCGAACAGGTTCGACCAACAAGGGCTTCACGGTGGTTCTTCTTTTCATGTGGTTTGTGGTGTTTTCATGTGTCGGTTTTGTTTGTTTGGAGGCGGGGCGTTGAGTTTTTTGGTTTGGAATGAGTTGAGGAGAGAGGGTGTTGCGTCGTATGGGACGTCTTGGGTCGGTCAACTCCATCGTCCTGCTGTTTGCATCACTCCTCGTCGAACTGGCATGGGCCGTATGTCCGGAGGAGGTCCTTTCATAGGCCAACCTGATAGAACCTGAACTTCCTGCCTTTGTGCAGCTGCAAGATACAACAAACATCACGCACAGAAAATGGATTTGGAATGGTGTTGAACAGGTGTTCTTTCGTTAATGGGACCGGAAAGGACCCGTTTCAGGCCTTGCGATTTCTGAAGACAGGCCCACGCCAAAAAAGAGGCTGGTGCTAGTTCCATCGAGGCTGGTCCTCCGGAGCTGAACTGGTCCGACTTGATCATCTTCGATCCAGTCGGCTGATGTTAAAATAACAGTGTGATCAGCGTGCCAGGGATGTTGAAGGTGGACAGTGGGTCTTACATCCCCACATGGAGAGGTGTTGTTGATCAACAATCTACATTACTTGGATAAATTTGGCATGATCTCCTGCAAATCCTGGATCCTCCCCATCTCGGTCTTTGTTGAGTGATTTATAGGTACCCTGAGAACAGACATTCAACACGCTTCTGTACTGTGTCTCTACAAATACAATTCAGTGACCCTCCACTTTTTGCAAGCCAGCTGCAAGCTTCAATGCTCTAGGTCATCCTGTGAGGTTCAAACGGCCCCCTCTTTGATTCACTCCCGCCTGCGCCCCGTCGCACCATCGTCCCGTCCCAGTCGCCCAGCCCAGCCTCGGACGGTGGCGCCTCCGCGATCGAAAGCCTCGCCACTCAGGCGACCTTCCAAAGCCTGGAGCCGGGCCCCGAGATCTATGCGGTGAAGCAGGCAGATCCCGGCTCTTCCTCTTTGTTCATCATGAATTATGAATCATCATCCCTCCTCCTCCTCCTCCTCCTCCTCCTCCCTCATCATCATCATCATCATCATCATCATCATCATCATCATCATCATCATCATCATC